GCCTGTAAAATTGGCCTTAGCCCCACCTGCCACCCCATGTAGATTAATCATGTAAACTGCCTCTATATCTCACTCACAGAGAATAAGGCATCATCTGGCTGTTGCTGACACACTCTGAGCCCAAGTCCCCACCCCAACCCCTCAATGCAGATTCCCAAGAGAACCAATCAAAGACAGAGCATGTCAGAGTCAGCAACATCTTTGGTCCTTAGGGCCTCCACAGACCTCAGCAGTGTCTATGTGGGATATCTAATGTGGTCTAAGGAATGGGCAATGAAGGTTAAATAAATAAATAGAGGGGAGGAGGATTGAGGAATATAGGGAGAAATAAGAGTGATGGAAAGATAAGACAAAAAACATAGAAATGTTACTTGGAGCAGGATGAACAGTGACTGTGGATCTGTTCAGGATCTTTAGGCTGAAATGATCTATCTCAGCTACTCAGTTTTATAAGGGTTTTGGACCAGCACTAGAGACCTGGATTCTAATGCCAGCACAGCCCCCTGGTGAACTGGGTGACCCTGGAAAAGTGATGTGTCTGCTCTTCATCTTGCATTTGATGAGCTGGAAGATCCTTTTGAGTTTTAATAGTTTCTCATTCTGTTTTAAGACTCTGTCTCATTGAGAACCTACTTATGGCAATGGGCCCTGATAGAATATGAGGATCTGCTAGTTTTGTTTATTTATTAAGGCAGAGTGTGAGCTAGAAGGGGAGATAATCAGAAGTGCATCTGTATGTGTGGTGTGTTAATTAGCTAACCCTCCAAAGTCCAAAGGTTCGCTAATTACTAAGAGGAGACTCTGGAAAGCTGTGAAAACCCTGCATTTTAAGACCATTGAAGTGATGGGCCCAAGTTAGCATCGTATGTTCATCTCCTCTGCCTTAGTAGTGGCATAAAGTTTAGTTTCTGGGGCCCTGCAAAGCACACGGTGAGCCTGGTTCTTGGCATCGACAGGTCATATCATCTCTTCTTCCATAGCTCTTAATGAAGTGTGCAGCTCTTGTCCTCATTAGGCCTCAGCATTGTCAATAACAGAGTCAATAAACCCAGTTGATGGGGTTGGGACTGAGAGACTGAGATGCAGCAGCCGCACCTCCACAGGGCAGACATCCACTCTGCCACGTGTCATGACCCAGTGCCCGGGGATCAATAACCAGCTCGGAATAAAGCCCAAGAGCCTGCCCTCTGCAGTGTCCTCTACAGACCCATTTTACTCAGGAGCAGTGCCAGCCGGCACCTGCTTTGCTTGCATTTGTTTCCACTCCCTGCCATTCTGGGTGCCAGATGCTTTTGTTTCTTCCTGATTGAGCCCTCTGGACACCCCGTGGATGCATATTTAGTGAGTGCCCACCTGGCATGAGAAAATATAGACAGCCTCTCTTAGCAGCCCAGAGGCCGGTATAGGCCCCATTTTCTGTGTCTTCTGTCTACTGACAGTGTGTGAGGAGCCCCAGTGACAAGTGGGTATATTTTCTGCATGTTATGCTGCTGGGCTCCATTCCTGGCTGCTCTGCATCTCTTTAGATACCCTTATCTTATCTAATTACAAGGAATTTCAGATTAATTTCTTAGCCTCTGCACCAAAGGACCTCTTATCAGTGAGGGCTTTGCATTTTAACCTTGTCATTCTTTTGTTGTATGCCTTTAAGGGGCGGGCAGCTAAGAAGGGGATGCTAAGATCTTGCTGGAATTGAGGCTGGGGGAGTGGGAGGAGGAGGGAGGCAGACAGACCTGGGATTTGTGTATTCTACTCCATCCTCTTGCTTGTGTGCGGAGACAGCTGGCTGCTTACTTCCATGACAGCCACATGGTACCCACCCACACAGAACAGGACCTGGGCAGGGACTCATCTGCTGCCAACCTCTCCAGATCCCTTTGATATTTCCGACAGAGCAGTAAAGGACTCTTGACTATCATGGTTTGCCTTGCCTCTCTCCACCTCCTCAAAGACTTCTTGGTGTGGTTTCCATGGCTACCCCCAATCAGATTTGGCTTCTTGCAAAATTGGATTTCAAAGAAGGACAAGGCTTCAAAGGAATTTGTCCATTTAACAGAATGTCATTAGGAGTGAGGCTGACTGCTGAACCAGGGCCCTTAGATGATTAAGGAGAGGCTGCGTTCATGTGTGGAGGCAGGTTTCTGTCTGCAATGAGGAACTTTGATGCAACATGACAATACTGTATTGGAATCTGCCAGTCACTCACCACATATTATCCAATCCAGCACCTCCCTCGACTCCCACTTCTCTAAATCCCAGACAGTTCTACAGGGAGGAATGGATGTAGAATAACTCCCCAGCAAGTTTTTGCTGTTTCCCTTGTAAGCTATGACAAGCAGTGAGGTCTTGAGGATGTGCAAATTACCTGGACTTACTGTTCCTTATCAACCATCTCATTAGCTTGTAGTCCATATTAGCATGTGATACAATATCTTTGTAGAAGTGGGGGCGGGGCGAGGTTTGTCAAATTTTCTTCCATTCCTGAGATAGAAAGCAAGGCAAAGTACTGGGGTTACATAGAGAAGGGGCTTTGTTTCCTTTGCTTTTTTTTAAAAAAAAATTTTTTTAATTAACTTTATTTTATATAATAGTTGTAGATTTACAAAAAATGTGTGATGTTAATAGAGAGATACCCTTTGCTTTTAAACTCATGGCATAAGTTCTGAAAAAATGATTCAAGAACTGTTAAGGTTTTATAGAAGGATGACTGAGGCTGGCAAAACTGCCTCCAGGGTACCTGGTACTGGCTCTGGGGCTGGGAGGGGACAACCCGCCTATTGCTGGGACACCTTCCCAGGGTAAGCTTAATAACCAGTAGGAGCCAGATTCCCCAGAGACTCCAGCCAGCCTTCTATCCCCATCTCCAATTTGCTGTAACTTGGATGGGTGGGTCATGTGGCTCTGAAAAGAAGGCAGCATTCCTCTTCAAAGCACAGGGGGAAGAGGTGTAAAACCGTCAAAGCTACCTTCTTCAGGTATCAAGCCTCCAATCTGAGGCTGTGTCTCTAGAGGGGAAACTAGAAAAGCAGGCACTTCTGTCACAGTTTCTGTTGGTTGTTTGTGTAGCCACCTCTCTGCTTCATTCAATTCATTATTAGTTCCCTCGGATGCCTCTGCAAAAACCACTTCCCCCATCTTTCCAATGGCCCCTCTTAGCACTCGCAATCCTTCCTACATTTTCTGTGGGTCAAGAAAATGGAAAATTCCATTTTACCACGAAGGAAAATGGTAGAGGTGAAGTGAGATGTGTGAACTACACAGAGCTCTGGTTAGGTCACTCTTCAGCTCAAAAATTGTCAATGGCTCCCCAGTGCCCACTCAACTGAGTTAAAAATTATTTTTCTGACATTCAAGGCCCTTCACAATACAGCTTCAATTTATCTTGACAGCAGTATTGGATTGCCCAATAAGCAAGGTAAGTATAGACTTACTTGTGTTTACTTACTACTAATCATTGAACTTTATGCTCCTATGACTGGCATCTCTCTCTCTCCCAAACCCACAGCACCTTTCTACAGAAGCAAAGCCTCTTTTCAAATTTATTATCCCTGACAGGGATGGAGTACGCAGTAAAAGTACTCCACCCTGCTTGACAACCATAGTTTCCCTACCTCATCTAGTAAAAGAGGCTTACTAGCTGTTTCTCAAGTTGTTGTTGTTGTTGTGTGCCAATGAGTCGGTACCGACCCTGTCCAGGGTTTCCAAGAGTAGCTGGTGGGTTTGAACCACTCACCTTGCTGTTAGCATGGTTAGCAGTCCAGTGCTTGTCATCCAGCGCCACACCAGGGCTAATTTCTCAGGTAGTAGAGGGTTTTCCTGTCCTTATTGGCTCTGGTCCTTGTACTTGGGAAGCCCTAATCCTTCAAAGCTCATCTCAAATGCCACAGCACCACTAAATACACATACATATGATTTCCCTCCTTTTTGATATCCATCTCTCCCACCCCACCCATGTCATTTTATACCTTTCTCATGGCACTTGGCTCATTGTACAGTACTAAAAAAAGAAAGAAAGAAAGAAAGAAAGAAAGAAAGAAAGAAAGAAAGAAAGAAAGAAAGAAAGAAAGAAAACTTTATTTTGAGGTAATTCTAGATTCACATGAAGTGAAATCCTGTTCAAGCTTTACCTACTTTCTCCCCATTGTAACATCTCGCTCCCTCTGCGCATGCTATCACATAGGATATTGACTCCGATGACCTCAGAGTGAGCTTGTCCCCGTCTCTGTTCACGTTCCTCCCTTTGTCAGCTCTCTAGAGGGAAAGGGTTCGGTCCTTCCCTCACTCAGCTTCCCCAACAGGATATCTTTACAGACTTTATCTCCCTGTGTTGATTGCTTCTGCTTCCGCCTTAACTCTCCCAAATGTTGGTGACTTTATATGATTTATTGAGGCTTAACAATTATTCTTTTTAAACATCCAGGTTTACCTAAGATAGTGAAGGTTATGCCCTCGTTTTCTGGGCATGGATTGGATCAAGTATTGAGTGATGCTTCTTGGTTAGGACTAATCTCTTTCTTGGGTTCTGCCTGCCTGCACCCCATTTCGGGCATCTCTATGGCATCCAAGCCTTTAGGCCAACTGTTCAGTGCTTAGGATGGAAAGTCTTAAAAGAATTATGATTCCTTTGAGTCGTGTGAAGTCTTTCGTTTGTACAAAGGGCCTGAGGGAAATCCCTTAGGTCTCGCTTGATGCGGCCCTCCTGCCCCTCCATCTTTTTTGCACCTGTCTTTTGGGGCCCGGGTGTTCATGCAGCGCGCCCCCCGCTCTCGGGCACGCCCCTCCGCCACCCCTGGGGGCGCCTCCCGCCCGCGGCGCGCGCCACTTCCTGAGCGCGTCCCGGGACCGCGGCCCCGCCCTGTGAGCGGCTGGGCTACAGCGGCGTGAGACGACGGCTGAGGTCCAGGTGCCTTGTCGGCGCTCCCTGGGTGCCTTCCAGTCTCTGGAGCAGGCCTTCACTCCCCTTCCCGCCACACCCTCGGGCCTCCCTTCGTCCCAGCCAAATGCAGGCCGCCGCCACTCTCCCTGAGGAGATCCGATGGCTCCTAGAAGGTAACGCCCTGGCCCAGCCCCAGACCCCCTCTCAGGCTGCTCCCCCCACTCCCCCGCCCGGAAGCCCCTGAAACGCTGAGCTGAAGGGAAGAAGGAGGCTCCCAAGGCCAGATTTTCTTCCTTCTCAGTTCCATCACTTACCTCTTTCTGGAACACTCAAGGCTTCTAGAATCTTCCACTCCCCCAAACCAGGTTTCATCTACTCACTCTGGAGTCCTTTTCTCTGCCCTCTAGTTCCACATTTCCCCCAGACATCTCTACTTCACTTAACCTCCCAGATTTTTGGTCCTTGCCCTGTCATTTCCCCCCTCAGGACCACCCCATTATATGTGTAGGCTTTCTCCCTCCTCATCCCCCCCCACACACTTCATCACCATTCACTGCTTAGAAACCCCCCCCCCCAGGCTCTGTGAGGGACCCCTGGGCCATCCTCTGTTGGTCAAAGCCTGGTGGTTAATGTGTTTTTGTCAGTGCTGAAACCTCAGGCCTCACTTTATCAGCCTGAAAATTTGCTGTTGTAATTGTTAGGTGTCATTGAGTTGGCTCTGACTCTCGGTGACCCTACACCTAACAGAAGTGAAACACTGCCCGAACCTCACAACTGTGAAGTTTGAGCCCCTTGTTGCAGACACTGGCAGTCTGTCTCATTGGCATCTTTCTCCGTTTTGTTGACCCTCTACTTTACAAAGCATGTTGTCCTTTTGCGGGACGCGTCTCTTCTGATAACACGTCCAAAGGACATGAGACAAAGTTTCCCAATCTTTGCTTCTAAGGATGGTTGCACTTCTTGCTAAACAGGTTTGTTTGTCCTTCTGGCAGTCCACGGAACATTCAGTATTCTTCACCAACACCGTAATTCAAAGACTTTCATTCTTCAATCTTTCTTATTTATTTTCCACTTCTTGCATGGCATATGAACTGACTGAAACTACTGTGGCTTGGGTCAGGGGCATCTTAGCCCTCTTTAACTCTTTAAAGAAGTCTTTTGAAGCAGATTTGCCCAATGCAATACATTGTTTGTTTTCTTGATTATTGCTTCCATGAGCATTGATTATGGATCTAAGTAGATGAAGTCCTTGCCAACTTCAATCTTTTTTCCATTTATCATGATGCTATTTGTTGACCCAGTTGTGAGGATTTGTTTTTTTGTTTTTTTTTTACACTGAGTTATAACCCATCCTGAAAGCTTTACTCTTTGATCTTCATCAGCAAGTGCTTCAAGTCCTCGTCATTTTCATCAAGGTTGTGTCATCTGCATATGACATGTTGTTAATGAGTCTTACTCCAATCCTGATGCCACATTTTTTTGTGTCCAACTTTTTGGATTATTTGCTCAGCATTGGATGGTGGTGGGGGTTGTGTGCCGTCAAGCTGTTTCTGACTCATAACGATTCTGTGTAGGTTTTCCAAAGCTATAGGGTTTTCGTAAATCTTGATGGGAGCAGAAAGCCTCATCTTTATCCCTTGGAGCGACTGGTGGATTTGATCTGCTGACCTTATGGTTAGCAGTGCAATATGTAACCCACTATGCCATCAGAGCTCATTATACAGATTGAATAAGTATGGTGAAAAAATACAACCCTGACACACACATTTCCTGATTTTAAACCACACACTATCCTCTTGTTCTGTTAAAATCACTGTCTTTTTTCTATGTGCAGATTCCTCATGAGCATTAAGTGATCCAGAATTCCTTTTCTTTACAATGCTGTCCATGGTTTCTTATGGTCCATATAGCCAAATACCTTTGCGTTGTCAATAAAACACAAGTTAACACTTTTCTGGTATTCTTTACTTTCAGCCAATGTCCATCTGATGTCAGCAGTGATATCCCTCCTTCCTTTTGAATCCTGCTTGAATTTCTGGCAACTCCCCATTGATGTGTTGCTACAACCTGTTTTGAGTTATCTTTAACAAAATTTTACTTGTGTTGATATTAGTGATATTGTTGGATAGTTTTTGCATTCTGTTGGGTCACTTTTCTCTGGAATGGGCACAGATATGGATATCTTCCAGTCAGTTGGCCTGGTAGCTGTCTTAGGTAGTGAGTATTTCCAGCAGGCCTCAGTTTGTTGAAATATTTCAGTGGTTTTCTGTCAGTTTCTGGAGCCTTATTTTTCACTAATGTCATCAGTGCAGTTTAGACTTCCTCCCTCAGTATTGCTGGTTCTTGAATCATATACTATCTCCTGAAATAGTTGAACGTTGGCCAGGTCTTGGTACAATGACTCTGCGTACTTCTTCCATCTTCTTTTGACACTTGCTGCATCTTCAATATTTTGCCCATGTTGTTTTTGTTAAGTGCTGTTGAGTTGGCTCCAACTCATAGCAACCATCTATAGGGTCTTTGAGAAGCAACTGGTGGGTTTGTGGTTTGCAGTCCAATGTTTATCCTGTAGCACCCATCAGAACTCCATAGACTCCTACAATATTTCAACTCAAGGCTTGAATTTTTTCTTCAGTTCTTTCAGCTTGAGAAAAGCAGAGTGTATTCTTCTTTTTTGGTTTTCTTACTCCAGGTCTTTGCACATTTCATTTATACTTTGCTTTCTTGAGCTGTCCTTTGACATTTTTGGTTCAACTCTTTTACTTCATCATTTCTTCCATTAGCTTTAGGCACTCTAGGTTCAAGAGCAAGTTCTAGAGTCTCTTCTGACATCCACTTTGGTCTTTTCTTTCTTTCCTGTCTTTTAAATGACCTCTTTGCTTTCTTCATATTCTTGATATCATTTCATAACTCCTCTGGTCTTTGGTCACTGGTGTTCCATGCATCAAATCTGCTTTTGAGAAGGTCTCGAAATTCAGTTGGGATATATTTCCAGTCATATTTTAATTTTCCTTAGCTTCAGCCTAAACTTGCATATGATCAGTTGATAATCTGTTCCACAGTCATCTCCCGGTCCTGTTTTGGCTGATAATACCAAGCTTTTCCATCATCTTTTCCCACATTGTCCATTTGATTCATGTGTATTCCTTCTGGTGAGGTCAACGTGTATAGTCATCATTTATGTTGTTGAAGGACTAATGGTGTGGCGCTGTAGAACAGCATTGGACTGCAAATCACAAAGTCTACAGTTCAAACCCACCAGCTGCTCCTTAGAAACCCTGTACAGGGTTGCTATGAGTAAAAACCGACTCAACAGCACTTAATCGCAGCAACAGCATGTTGTTGGAAAAGGTATTTGCAATGAAGAGGTCATAGATCTTGCAAAATTCTATCATGCGATCCCCATCATCATTTCTCTCACCAAGGCTGTATGTTAAAACTACTGATCCTTCCTTTGTTTTCAACGTTCACATTCCCATCACGAATAATTATCAGTGCATGTTTGATCAATTTCAAACTGAAGAAGTTGGTAGAATTCTTCAATATCTTCAACATTGGCTTTGGTGATTGGTACATAAATTTGAATAATAGTTTGTATTAAATGGTCTCCCTTGCAGGAGTATAGATATTACCCTATCACAGACAGCGTTGTATTTCAAGATAGATTTTGAAATGTTCTTTTTAATGATGAATGTGACACCTTTCCTCTTAAATTTGTCATTCTTGGCATAGAAAACCAAATGATTGATTCAAAATGGCCAACACCTGTCCATTTCAGCTCACTAATGACTAGTACATGGATCTTTATGTATTCCATTTCATTTTGGACCACTTATAATTTTCCTGGATTCATACATTGTGCATTCCATATTACAGTTATCAATGAATGTTTGCTTCTTCTCATTTTGAGTCATACCTCATCACCAAATGAATGTCCTGAAAGTTTTACTTCATCCATATCATTAAGGTTGACTCTACTTTGAGAAGGTAGCACTGCTTCAGTTGTATTTTGAGTGTCTTCCAACCTGAGGGACCATTTTCTAGCACTATGTCAAACATTGTTTTGTATTATTCATAAAGTTTTCAGAGGCTAATCCTTCAGACGTGTACTGCCTATTTCTTTCCCCTAATGTGTTCTTAGTCTGGAAGCTCTGATGAAGCTTGTTCACCGTAGGTGACCCTGCTGATATTTGAAGCATTATGGCAACACCCAAGCTACCACAGTATGACAAACTGACAGATGTATGGGGTACAGACTTCTAGAGGTCTCATTACTGAACCCAACACTAGCTAATACTGTGTTCAGCATCACATTTCTTCCTTTTGTAGAAGTGTCCCATTTTGGTGTGTTGACTTTCAAACTATAGTATCTATGCAATTTTTAAAAAAAGTTGAGCCATACTCACATTCAAGACATACTTTTAACACTCTAAAGAAACTTCACTCATGAGCAGTATCATCTGCTCAGTTCATACTTTTCATGGTGTCACTTGTACTTGTTTTCCTATAACTGACCTTCTATGAAGGACAGAGACCTGGAGTCTGTAGAGTTAGTTACATGAGGTCTTGGGAGGAAATCATTTAGGATTAAGCCTTTTGGCATCTAAGTGACATATTTGACACATATTTAACAGATGGTCTGCTTTGAACAGATCATACTTTTGGCAAGCTGTATTTTTTTCAGTTTCTCTCAATTTAATTGGCTTTATATCTTTATTACTTTGTTATTTTGATATCAAGGTTCACGGTTCAAGCTTACCAGCTGCTCCATGGAAACTCTGTACAGGGTTGCTATGGGTCAGAATTGATTCAACAGCACTTAACAACAAACAATAAAATATTGGGCAAGTTCTTTTGGTCTCAGCTTGTAACACCATTTCCATCCTGGATTATGTCTATATAAAAACTGTCAACTAGGTATTTCTTTTGAGGTTTCTAAAATCTGCTTTAGTATATTTGCAAATTATAAGAGAGTCACCTGGGTTTCTAAGAAGCAACCCAGTCTTTCCCTGTGCTGTTGAGTTGGCTGTTGGTTCATTATTAGCCTTGTGATGAGAGACTATGTGTCTTTGGTTTCCGGGATAGAAGAAATTGCCCTTGCATTTAAAGATATAAAGTGATTTTTTTTGGTATCTTTCATTTGATGAAAGGAAACCTATTTTACAAGCTTGTT